ATCTTGTAATCTTTTCCAAAAGGCAAAAGCTACCCCTCCCCTCCAAGAACAATGGCTTCAATGACAATTAAGTCCAAAAATCCAGGCCTAGCACACCAGTCATTGCTTTGCCTTTTTCACAATGGTGCCAACAGCTGATATGACTGTAGTTTTGGATCCACTTGCACTGGTTGTCACTGTGACAACACCTGGCAGCGTTGCAGTAGTGGTGAGAATGGTAGGCTGAGCTATCGTTGTTACGGGGATGGCTGAGTCCCACTTGCTCTTCCTCTTCTGGGCATCTGTGTATTTGATTAGATCAAGCAAAGGAGGATTAGCATTATGTTAAAAGGTCACCAATCCCTTCTTAACACCCTGTCTTGTCAACTCTTAACATACCACTGCTTGATTAGACAACTTTCCCTCAGATTAATTTCAGCATACACTGGCAGTAAATGTTGAGCAGCGAAGACAACTTTATATCTCAAGAGTCAAAGTAGAACTCTACACCTGAACTCCAGCCAAATGAGAGCCAGGTTCACTCCCTGCCCTAAAGCGTAATTTTAAGAGAGCACACGTATCACAGTTGTTCAGGTACAGGCACAGGACACACTCAAAAGCCGCTGGTATTTTTTCTCCCTTCCTCCCAGTTTTAAAAGCACACTGTAGGCAGGAGAATGATTTTCAGTCTTTCCAAATCTCTTGAGATGTATCAGCCCCAAGAATACCACCACAGACATCAGCAAGTTTCTTGACTCACTAATAAATCTCTTCACTATCTGACCTGGCCCTAGTCTTTCTTTCCAGAAGGACAGCCATGGGATATAGGGACTAGAAAAAACCTAGTCCATCAGCCCTTGAAGAAATGCTTTCTTGCGTTATATACACAATAAGGAGCCCTCAGGCTTTCCAGGAAGCACTAATTCCAGCAGTACAGCAGTTTAACAGGAACAAACATATCTGTTCTTTACCTCCTACAGTGGTACTGGCTGTTGTGGTTGTTGTAGAAGCAGCACTTGCTGTTGTACCCTTTTTAGTGCCAGTCACAAATTCAATCTGGGAAGGGAGAGACATGTAGGAGAAGGGGTAAAGGATAAAAAAATTGAATTGTTAAGATACACAGTATTTTTTTAACCCACATTCCCTCTCTATGTTTTTAAAAAACAGCATTAATGTCATGTAGGATATTGGCCTCTGAGCTGTCATGCAGGAAGAGAGATGTAGTCTGCAGGCCAAAACATACTGAAGTCATGACCATTCAGGATTCCTGCAACCCAGCTTAAGTCGGATACAATAAAAGTGTGTTTATTACCTGTTATAAGCATAGGAATTTGACATAGCTCAGAAAGGACAGATCCTGGTCATTAAAGAATGCATTTGTACAGTTAGAAGTTCCCCTTCCTTTTTCCTTTTAAGAAACATGCAAGACATGTCCCTGCCCAATTCACTGCAACTGTATCATCACAGGAAGCCTGGCAACAAGAGCTACAGCAGCATGAACCCTCATACTTTTGACACTGCAAACAGGAGCAAGGAGGTAACAGATATCTGGATTACTGCGCAAAAACCAAAACAAGACACAGCATGTGCTGCAAGAAAAAAAACTAACCAACCCTTCACATACTGAATATGGAAGGAGTCTTCTGCAAGGTGGGATGACATTTTCTAACCTTAGGCAGTTTTCTAATACCAGCCACTGGCTTAAAAGCAACACCACTGAAGGACAGGAATAAAATCTTCCAAAGCTTGTCTGTGTTCTTTTTGGGGTGCACATAAGAGTGTACATTTTGTGACAAGCCTAGCTGAAGTTAAAATAGGCCAAACATTTCCAGAAATTAGATGCGAAAAAGTAGTATCAAGGAGAACAGAAAGCAGGTAAAGCAGATATTCTCTCACAATGAGATATGGTGAGGAAATTAAGCTATACCTGGGCTATGCCACCAGGCAAATGTTACAGATTAAGGAAAAAAAAAAAGCCGCAAGCTGCGTTTTATGCATTATCTTGTCTGTATTTGGCTTACTGAGCACCATTTTAACACCTCTGGTTTAAAGATACTGACAAAGCACAAGGAAATCCAGTGGAATAAATCTGGATAATTGGACCTATAAGGAAGGGAACTTGGATCTGTGCAGCCTGGAAAAAGACACACAAAAAGAAACAAGAGAACCAGGAAAAACCAAGAAGTATAAGCACAGTTCATAACAGCAAACCAACAAAATGAAACCCAGCAAGGACAGGAACAAAACCCCTGCATCTCTGCCTCTCTTGGTTTTGAACAGTTACCTTTGTGCGTTCCTTCTTGGCCTTCTCCAATTTGTCCATTTCAATCTTCTGGGCTTTAGCTGAGAAAGATCAGAAGTTAAAAGAAACACTAGAAAAACAGTAAAAAACTTACTCACCCACTTCCCATCACAAACAATAAAACCCTTGTGTATGGAAAATTAAACTGCCATGAAATCAACTACTGTTTTTTAATCAAAGCATTACTGCACTAAATTAATGATTTAAGAGATGAAAACCTTGACAAACCAATTTAAATGAAACAGCTTTTCAGACTCATGAAACATCAGTAACATTCAGGCACATCCAACAAGAATGCAGTGGAGAAGCATGTGATGACTTCTCCTTTATAAAAGAAGTGAAGATTCCAGTGCAGTTAATTAACTACAAAATATAAAGAGCCAAGTTAGGACGAAAAAAATCCCTTCCTTTTAGTTACCTAATGCCTCATAATAGGAATCTTCTGACCAGCCATGAGGATCAAACATGTCCTAAGGAGGAAAAAAAAAAAAGTCAGATTAGGGCTATTTCCACACACACACTAAGCCCAGTTCAAAGATGTTTCGTGTATTTTTGTTCACTGATGATACTCACTACTGACTTCTTGTACCCCAATGACACAAAGACAATACCAGACCTTTTACAGAACCATGATCTGTTGTGAATGGAAAAAGAGCTTTGAAGCCAAAAGGATGCTGGAGAAAGGCATGCATTTTTCTGCTGCTCAGCTTCTATCCCTCCCCACAGCATTTCACATAAATCTCCACACTTCAGCAGTTTTTGGTTAGAATCATTATAGCAAAGTTGGAGGCACTGATGCTCAGTACCACAGAAAAAGTTCACCTCTATGCAGAGGATCAGACTAAAATTCCTTTAAAGGACCTCTAAACAAGCAGACTCAGGAAAGCCCGAGAAAGACCTTACCACCCCTGAATTACCTTTTAACCATTCCTTTGCTAGTCAAAAGTATAGCACCTCACCTTTGGATAATTTGTACCAAGTTCATCAATTGAACAAAACTGGATCAGCTTTTCATAGATGCTGCAAAGGAAAGACAAGAGTTCAGAACAGAGCCAGTGACCTAGAAGTGAACAGAAGTGTGTCAGATTTGTCAGTAGAAAGAGGTTGTCACCTCTTCACACTGCAAGAGGAAAATCAGAACCTGGGAAGCTACACTTGCTATGATGGATGTGGCATGCCATTAACCATATTCTTCTCACTTCCCCCAGATCAAGCTCCCAGAAAAGACATCTTCTAACATACTTCATCCAAAGCCTGTACATTTAAAAGCTAACCACCACACCAACTCTAGCTGCTGCCTCAGAGAACACAAATAAGTTTTACTTTTTCAGTTAAAATCAAATTATATCTATCTTGGTTTTGTAAGCAGTAGTACTTCTTGCTCAGGATCCTGCTACAACTCCAGTAAAGATAAAAATTATTGGAATTAGGGACTCTAGTGGTAGGACAAGGGGTAATGGGTTTAAACTTAAACAGGCGAACTTTAGGTTAGATATAAGAAAGAAGTTCTTCACACTGAGGGTGGTGAGGCACTGGAATAGGTTGCCGAAGGAAGTTGTGAATGCTCCAACCCTGGAGGAGTTTAAGGCCAGGCTGGACAGAGCCTTGGGCAACATAGTTTAGTTTGTGGTGTCCCTGCTCATGGCAGGGGGTTGGAACTAGATGATCTTAAGGTCCTTCCCAACCCTAACTATTCTATGATTCTATGAATGTGCTCTGTGGTGCTTTGGTCACATAGTAAAAGATGGCCACTGACCTGGGGTTACGGAACTCCTTTTTCCTCTGAATGATGTAGTTCATATCCATGCCCTCTTTTATTTTCCTCTCATATAGCTTTTGAATTTTATCCTAAGGGAGAAAGATTATAGGGTGAGCCAGTACGAAAATGTGGCTCATTTCAGCTGACTTTCAAAAGTGTACATGTGGAAACAAACCAACTGAATCAGTGACCTCCTTGCATGGAGCAAGGATTCCACCTCTCCCCTAAGGCCAGGCAGGCTGATTAGTACAGGTACTCCCTCCTTTAAGGTCTGAAAGTATCTTCATGAACAGTCTGGATGGGTAAGGGAATTGATCTTTGCACTTTCTGAAGGCTTCAGGGATTAAAGATTCACATGTGAGGCAGTAGCGCACACTCCTTCTGCCCAGCCTGTTGTTCCCCTTTATAGCCATCACTGCAGAGAAGTAGAAACCAACCCAGAGAGAGACAGGTAAAATCCACAAAGGTTGCCCACAATTTAGAGTGACCATTATACCCACCTTCAGACTCAGGCGTGCACCTGAAAAACCATTGCTGGGCTACACTGCGCAGAAATTAAGGGTCATAGCTATGCCTGGGTAACATCAGCAGAGCCAAGTTCTACTGGAGAACTAAACCAAAAGTGATCATTAGGTATTGCTGTTGGTGTCTACTGGAGTAGATCTGCAGTCCTGTGCCCAGCTCTGGGGCCACCAACATAAGGAGGACATGAACCTGCTTGAGCGAGCCCAGAGGAGGCCATGAAGATGCTGTGGGGGCTGGAGCACCTGGAGCGAGGCTGAGAGAGCTGGGTTGGTTCAGCCTGGAGAAGAGAAGGCTCCTTAGGAGGAGACCCTAGAGCAGCTCCAGTGCCTAAAGGGGCTGACAAGAAACCTGGAGAGGGGCTTTGACAAGGACCTGTAGGGACAGGCCAAGGGGGAATGGCTTTAACCTGCCAGAGGGGAGATTGAGATGAGCTCTGAGGCAGAAGCTCTTCCCTGGGAGGGTGCTGAGGCGCTGGCACAGGGTGCCCAGAGAAGTTGTGGCTGCCCCATCCCTGGCAGTGTTCAAGGCCAGGTTAGATGGGGCTCAGAGCAACCTGCTCTAGTGGAAGGTGTCCCTGCCCGTGGCAGGGGTTTGGAACTGGATGAGCTTTAAGGTCCCTTCCAACCCAATCCAACCCATTCCGTAATTCTGGCAGTCTGCTCTTAGGAACAGTATACTTGTAAATTCCAGCTTTGGCACAAGTGACCAGTTAGATGGAATCAACTTCTCTTTGCAGATGAGTCACATAGTTAGAAACTCTACAGGTATCTTGCTGAAGCCACAAGCCAACTGAAGCCAAAAGGCAACTTAACTGACTCGGTTTGGAAGTGTCAAACACTCAACTCTCCAAAAAGACTGAATGATTTAAAAATAAACATGATTTTTTTTTTTTCTTCCTCAGCAAGGTAGTGAAAGACCTTAAAAGTATTTTTACTCTGGTGACACTGAAGGGATAGCAAAAGTAGAAACTTTCAGATGGAAGATATACTTAAGTGATACTACTAGGAGAATATTCTCAATCATTTCCTTCATGACACAATTTCTCATGCACAAGATGCATATAGAATAAGGCTAGAGGCTTGGCCTTCAGTCTTTCAGGACATGAAAGTGGAGTCAAATTTCCTTTGTTGCTTCTGGATAAGTCATTTCATGTCTCCCTCTGTAGGGACAGTCAACTTGACTATAGAGCTGACTAATGTCTAGGGGTTTGCTGATGCCTGAATAAAAGAGGATTCTTAAGATCTGACATGTGACTCCTGTTTCATCAACCTTAACAAAAAACTTTATATGACAAATTTTCATCCAGTCCTCATAAAATTATTAAGAAGAAATTACACAATCTCCACATCCAGCATACACATCATGAAGTTTGAAGGAACAACTGCAAAAGGTGAATGTGGGGAGCAGAAACAATTGGTATTCCCTTTTGTGCTCTCCCCATGGAGGTAGCAATATGGTTTACAAAGTCCACAGATAGGGACTTACTCAGTCAACTTTGTAAGAAATACTCCCCTTGGAGTATTTCAAGATACAGTTTATTAGAAAAAGATTCTGACAAAAGGAAAGAGCAAATCAACAGTGAACAGCCTAGAACATTGTGCATCTCCAAAGAACAATCCCATATCCACGTTCCAAATGCTTTAATATGTGGTTTGACCTGCTAACAGAGGACAAGTTCTCCTTTGATTTAACATAGCAAACTGCTGTCAAAGGGGAAGAAAATCTGCTCTGTTTTGTCTACTCTCTCAAGCTCTGTGCATTCCTCAGATCTAACACACTGTGATTCATTGATGTCAGAACAGTAAGACCCTCCTACAGCCCAAGAGGAGGAACAGGCATGCCCAGGTGCAAGGTGTGGAGAAGAAAGCGTAATCTGGATGGTGAGTCATTCTGAATCACCACTGCACATCAAGAGCTTACTTTAGAGAGCATTCCAGAAGTAATTATTTACGTGTATTTCTACCGGGCAGGTAACTGCAGTTGAAATTCAAATGGATGGTAGGAAACAGCAGCTCCTGATCTTTCATTTGCCCTCCCATCAGGAAGAAGAGAACAGAGCAGAAGGTTGTTACAAAGTTTGTTACTGCAATTATTTGAGTGTGCACCAGAGAGAAAACACATTTGTTTTCTTTTGCTGCTTCTAAATTACTGACCTTCCCTCTCAATGTTTATCATCTAGAGATATGTAGGTGGAAAAGGAATCTTGTCAATGCTGCCTCAACTATTCCAGTTTGGGGATTCTTGGGTCCATATAGAAAAAGCAATGATTTGTTCTTTCATACAGAGCTGAATGTGCTGAGGTAGGAGAATAACCTCCACAGTAAACATCGCTTCTATGTTACTGGTGGGATCACAAGCCATTTTAAAGCAGAAGTGACCCACAGAGACTCGAAAACAGCTTTAAGCTTCTCAGATTGCTGAACTAGAAATGCTATAAAGTCTAAAGCATTAACACAGTGCACTCAAACTCAGCATAAACCCCAGCTTTGATGCTGGATTTTTATTTGTACAAAAACACTGGGCAGAGTTCTCCAACATCCCACCTCCCCCGAACTCCAAGCCTTTTAAAAAATTAAAAGTGGACTAATACCAACCTGCAAGTGGTTAGAACATCTGCCAGGAGGCTCAGGAGGGATTTTGATCTCATCTGGAGACATATTCCGCACCCTCTCTGAAAAAGAAGCTATAGAGAGCAAAGTGGGCATGAGTACTGGCCATCCTGAAGGGAATTTAAGCCATGCAAATCACTAAACCTGTTTTATACCCTGTTGTTGAGAGTGGATGGGTAAAGGCGAGAATGGAATGCTGTCAACTGGTACTTGTGGTGTTCTCAAAGTGCTGAGCAAGAAGCAATTAACCTTAGATCATGTATTATAAGAGGGATATGACGCTTGCTTGATCGATACCTACCTCATACTGTGGCTCTGTGGCACGCATGCTTAAAACTTTATTCTCAGGGGTCTCTTCACCCCAGAACAGAAATGTGAAAAGCTAAGCTACTTCCCACTCCAGCTGCAATTGTTGATAAGATCCTCAAAGGCAAAGGATCTTCAGAGGAACAAACGTTGGTTTCTGGAACGTACCTCTAAACCCTGCACTGTGTACCACATACTGAGCCCTCTACTACTCCAGGTCTTTCACGTGAACTTTAAAGTCTTGCTCTGAACAGCACAGATAACCTGGAATCTCTGATAAAACTTGTGCCAGGATACTCTCTCAGAGAGAGTCAGGCTGCGTATGTGGATGATGACAAGAACAATCTAAAGCAGCCTGCCTCATTGCCATTTTTGAGGTGGTAATCACTTTGGGTACTATTTACTTCAGGATCTGCCCACTTGAACCAAAATGGTTCAAGGAAATAGCCCTCCCCAAGGCTGTCAGGAGTTAACCACAAGAAATTACATCTCATCCTTAGGTTCAGGCTTCTTAACAGGCACTTTGATCTTTGCTCACAGAGTCAGCAAAGTTCAGTCTGTTGCTAGAAAGAGCAACTCGTTCTGCAGGACTGAGAACAGGCCAGCACAGACTGCTAGCTTTCTATAGCAGTTTGTGCTGGGACACACTAAGAGTACCTGATTGCCCTGTTACGGTTACCAGCAAAAGAAACTATCACATTTCCCCCTATTGCTTGCTACTTTCCTGATATTATGAGAAACGCAGGCAGTTTTCTAGCAAAATCTTGGAGCAGACATTTGTACCACATTTAAGCAGCTGAGATATTTAACCATAATTTGTACAGAGAATGCATCCCACAGTCGTAGTCTGCAGCGAATAAAAAAAGACCTGATGACAGCACAGAAGTAATTTCAACCAAGCCATTCACATTTGCAGCTCCTCAATTACACATTCCTCTGTAAAAGCTGCCTGATCTGCAGTTCCAGGATGCTCATGTCCAGCTCCTTTGACTAAAGCCTAGAAGGGCCCAAAGGACAGACACAGTGTTTGAACACAGCATACTCGCCTGCCTTCCAGAACAGTGCTCCATAACTGAGGCTACAGATAATCCACACTACACATGTCCAGTGCTACTACAGCTTCCATTTCTTTTGTCAAAATGAAAAGCACTAAGGACAATATCATTTGGAGATGCAAAGCTTGCAGGCGATCACTCACTGTAGTTGATCAAGATGTTGCTGAGGGTTAAATTTTTCAGCAGTTGCTGGTAACGAACAAAAAGTGTCCTTTGGCATTTACTAAACCAGCAGCTCTATGAAAGAAGGAAAGCTTGCCAGAGCCCCTGCAGATAGGCAGGCAAACTGGAGCTCCCTGACAACAAGACACACATTTGTTAAAGGTTACAGCTGCTGGTGGGATGGGGAAGCCTCTGGTTTAATTAGAATTTCAGGAACCCAGAAAGACAGTAGCAAATAGACAGAAGTGTGTGCAACAGACAGCACACCGGGCTTTCCGGAAAAGCTGAAAGCTGATTAATGGCTCAAGAGACTCACAGCATCAGCAGAAACATTAAAAAGAAAAAAAGGCCACAAAATCCAGACTTCATGAGGCAAAGAAAAAAAAACCCAACAAAAAACACAAACCAAACCAAAAAACCAACAACAAAAAAACAAAACAAAACAAGAAAAAAAAAAATCAAGCCTAGCTCCAGACTAGACATTTCTCAGGCTCTTTATCTTTGCAAATCACCCACAGAGCAACAAAATATTTATGGGGAGGGGAACAGTGGGCTCATATAAATTCAGGAACTCTGGGCAAGAATGCCATCTAGCCAGCAAAGAAGTCAAAATCGCTAAGAGTATGTTCAGCAACCAATTCGTGCTCCTTTGAAACAAAAAATACCACTGGAGGCAGAACAAGAGCTTCCAATGAGATAATGTATTTTGACATGTGACTTTCAGGTCTTGGTGCACATCTGCTCTTTTGTTTGAGCCATGTGAAAGCAATCATTTATCATCAACATTATGCGGATGGCAGAAGGCATCTCTTAGTGGCTTACAAGGAAGGAGAACTAAGACATCTTTGTCTACTGCAATCCCCCCATAACTACACTCAAGGCTGGGTCAGCAATGAGGCCACATGCACCTCGCAAGCTGAGCACCAACATTCATCATTACTCAGTTATTTCATCACATTGCAGCCAGAATGAAATGCCACATCATTACGAAGAAAAGGATGAGTTTAACCTCTTCAGGCTTATTTACAGTAAGGAAGTACAAATTATCCGTGCCCTCGAGCAGTCCTCAAACTTCCCTTCCAACAGACAGCAGAATGGCCTCTTCTCACCAGCTCTTTCTCTAGAGGAAGGAGCAACTGAGATTGCCATTAAAATAATCCTGGAATTTGCAAATATGGCCACGGGCTCCTATATAAAAAGTTTTGTGCTTTCAAAGTCCCAAGCAGCGCTTTCCACCACATATAGAGCTATAAATGCAGACGGACAACTAACAAGGTGTGTCCTCATAGGAAACATCCAACTGCTTTGTGCATCCTGTTATTTCTGCCAAGATCAAAGTTTTACTTTTCGTGAGTCAGCAGCAGTGACAACGGCTGCAGCCTCTGATGGGGCCTGTGCTTTCTGGCTCACAGCCTAGAGGATCTCCATGTGGAGATCTCAGGAAGTTGGCTGTTGGCACGATTAATCACTACAGGCACACCTAGGCTCTGGCTCACAGTAAGTAAATATCTTCCCCTAATCAGATTCACAGTCCAGAAAGCATGAAGGCCAGAAAGCAGATCCCACAGCTTCAAGACAGTAGGAGCCAATGCACTGCTAGGTCTGCAGCTCAAACACCCTGCTGCTGAATGGCACTGCCACTGGTGCTCAGTCTGTATGTTCTCCTCCAGCAAGGCTATCTAAAAGTTAAAAATGTCATCAGCACAAGCACTATGTGCTTGGAGCTTTTCATACAGCCAGTGCATGCACTGTGGCAGGGTGAGATGTTCAGCTGCTCCTGGGCCCTGCATAGCAGGCCGAAGTACAGCTGAGTATTAGGGTATACCTAGGAAAGATTCACCATCTCAGCAGTCAGTGGAGAATATCTGCTTGCCAGTTCTTGGTGAGACAAATAATTAAGCGAAAATGCTAAATTTAACCTGATTCAGTTTGAGAGAGATGGATTATTTGACCAGTGTATCCAAGAGTACAAAGTGCAGAGCAGGACAGGAAGTGCCACAAGGCAAACTGTGCACTCATAGTCCAAAGCCTATGCTGGAGACATGGATGGGGGGCACATAGTTTTATTTCCTACAGATGGGTAGATACATCTTCTTAGTGAAGAAAAAAACAAAAGAATAGAGAGCATAGAACAGAGAGCTGGCTGTACCCAGACAGACTAAGGTGCGCATCAGCTGAGGTGTGGTAAAGCATCGTGCCTCCTGTCCCTTTCAAGGTTCACTTGTATGCCACATCTTTAGCAATCACAAGGGATACAGGCAGTATCAGATGCCACTTTGTCTATAAAGGTCACACAATGCAAAAACTCCCCAAGGAAAGACCTGGAAAGGGTGAGCAGAGGGACATGGCTTTCCCCTGGAGACAATAAGCTAGTGGCGCCCGGTCTCTAAAGCTGCTTTCTTTGGCATGCTCATCAAGTCTGCCTGGCATAAACCAGGGCATGGGGGTTTCTGATTTCCTGGTACCAGAACAGCCAAGTAAGAGGGAAGAACTGGAGGCAACAACATGCCAGCAAGTCACCCATCCATGGAAGGACACTAGTTCTCCTTCTGCTCTGTGGGCTGAGAAACGCAGAAGCGGGGGGGCGGAGTGTAAGGAAAGGGGGGAGAAGAAAAAAGAGGAGTGGAGGAAGAAAAGGGCGGAAGGAGGAGGGCAAGAAAAAGGGGGAGGGAAGCAGCCCCAGCCTGTATTTTTGGGCATGGTACCTTTCTCCTAAAAGAAGACTTCACTGAAAACATTCCCCAGAAATCAAACATTGCAGTGCAGTAATTCCAACTGCAGCGTTGTCAAGACAGTGTAAAGATACTTTTTACAAAGGGGAATACTAGAAGGTCTAGTTTGAAAAAAAACCGTAAGAATGAATACCTCTGTGTGAACTTACCAACTAGCTCCTGAGGATCTCTTTTCTCCAGTTCTGAGAGTTCCTGAGATAAAGAGGAAAGAAAGATGGGGTTTTAGTCAAGGTATGCTTCCAGCTTAAAAAGCTAGTGTCCATTTGTTTAGAAATTTACACATTACTTCTGAGACAAAAGAATAAAAATTATGAATGAAATGCAGGTTATTAGAAAATAGGGCTATGTTTGTACCATGGAAAGTCAAAACCTAATAGAATGCTGTTTTCTGTCAAAGAGTCTAATGAAAGAATTAAGGCTTTGTTTCAATGACTCCTGACACTCAGCTCTTTTTGAATTCCACAAAACCAGATGTACTTGAAGACTTCTTTTTTTCATGAGAGATCAAGCCACAGATTCTTCATTTTTGGTGACAGGCCCTGGCACCAGTCAATGTTTTAGAGCATAGCTAGCTAAACACAAGCTGGATCCAGCCCACAGAAAACTACTGAAGCCCTTGGAATGCCTAAGCACAAGCCTGTGCAACTGGCAGTCCTTTAAGCAGGGTCAGCAGGATGCATTCCCCAGAGGAACATGGACTGGCCTCCCCACAGACACCCCAGGCTCTGCAGGGTCTCAGGGTGACATCGCAGGATTCACCCAGTGTGACAGGGCCAGGATTCCCTTCTGTAACTGCACCATTCGGGGCTTTGGATCATAACGCCTCCCTGAACCAACATGCCAGGGAGTGTGATGGTGATGCAGATCCCGTATTCCCATTTTGGAAGAACGCTCCCACTGTCAATTCTCTCTTGGCTGCTGCTTTCCAGGATCTGCTTTACCAGAAACTCAAGGGCAACTACAGCTGGCTTGTGCTCTGTTTGGAGATCTCAACACAGCTAATCCCTCCTCAGTTATATAAATTAAGGCTACTTCAGCTGTGGAAGCACAGCAGATGTTTGCTCCAGTCTGTTGAGCAGCAGGTGTTATGTAGGGTAAGACACTCTAAAATATGCTTTCACTATACTAAAACCAACATTCAAATATTTTGATGCTTCTGAGAGACCTCAGGATAGCCAAGTTCAACACAAATAAAGCTTCAGAAACAGTATCAGCTGTATCCCAACACTGCCCTCTCCCCTCTGCCTCCTTCCAAAGCCCTTTTGTAACTCATTGGACTGTGTGTCCAAAATTCCTCAGTGCCTCTAAACACTAAAGCTATTCATTCAACCTGACAGACATAATGCTGCCTCCTTCCTGCTCAGTAACTGCTCTCTAAACCCCCTCCTCAACTCCATTTTCAATCAGGTGAGAGATGCATAAGGTGAGGAGAAAGCAGAAAGGTCACCAAGGCAGATCTGGAAACAGGCTATGCCAAATTCTCTGTGAAAACCCACCACCAACTTCCAGAGAAGCCATAGCTCTCTGGAAGCAGAAAAGTGAATTCTTTGTGTGGAACCAACTGCACTTTTTATAGCCATCCATGGAAAGAAAAAAAAAGTAAGTACACTTGGATCACAGAAATACAAGGCTAAAGCTATTTTAGTCAAAACCAAGTAGTACCCAGAGAAACACGCATCTTCTCAACAGCCAGCTGGGAGGCCCCAGGCACCTTTGAGTAACAGCTCCAACCCTGTAAGCCAATGCAGTTGGTGCAGTGCATTAACACCTCTTCTCCCAGGGTGTTCAGAAAGAACAGCACAAGCATAAGAAAATTTGAACAGAAGCATGACATTTCAAAGCAGAAGAGTTGTGCCAAGAGAATGAGCTGCCTTTGGCAAGCCAGGAATCCAGGGAATCTAGGCGGTGTTCTCCACAAACCTACACAGTACTAAAGCGCTGAAGCTCAACCACACTGACATGGCGTTAACGTGGCGAGCCTCAGCCTGCCACCAGAGAAGCAAGGGCAGTTCTGTGGTAACTAACAGGTTGTGGGGACAACTCACATTAGCATGCAGGCTGGAGAGGATCAGAGCCACAGCCCCAAGGTGAGCAGAGGTCCCAGCAGCATGCAGTGACTTGCAGGGCAGGGCATGCATGTGGTCAGGAGGCTGCTTTATTCCCTTTAGGGAAGAATTTACTAGATCTGTAATTAAAAGTATTTCTTGTCTTGGTTTGAGACAACAAGCAAATGTTTGTTGAGGTGAAATGAAGGAACTGGTTTTGTTCCAGCCTTGGCTGAATTACATTCTGCTCTCTTGTCTTTTAAAATTTTGTTTTAAATGGACTGAGAGGGAAGAGACAGGCTACAACCCTGAGCACCTCTTGATCCTTCCTCTTACCCAGCACTGTATTTATTATTCCATTACCCCTCCCATCTTCTTCTCCCTACTTGTTCTCTCACCATCCAAGAACACAAAAGCAAGGGGAAAAATCCCCCAAATGACCAATATTGTTAAGCAGGCACTTAAGCAGCCCAGTGGCACAGTCAAATTCAGATGCTCTAGATACATACCAAATGCCCTCAAGAAGGCCACCCTCTTGTCTGGCCAGTTAACAGGTGTCTGCTAAATTTCTGAAGTTTTCGGAAACTCATTTTCAAGTCTCCTGTAGCCATTTGGAGCCAGCACCAAGCATAAGTACACAATTCTCGGGAAACATGAACTAATATTCTGAGAGATAATCTGAAGGCCAAAACTTATCCTGTTACTTACATTAGAGGAACACCTCTAAAATGTCAGAAGTGTTAAATAGTATATTTTATGAATTTCCAGAATCATCAGTAGGTTTGTTTCACCAGAAGTTTGATCTTTATGGATCTTAATAATCCTTTAATCCTAGAGCTACAGCACAAGCCTGGCCCACTTAGGCTAAATAAAGCCAGTCTTATCAGGTCAGCACTATGTATCTACCTGGCCTGGCTGCCCACACCTGCTCTAGCAAGTCTAGTCTCCACATCCCCAGGCCATAGCCAAGACATTAGAAACCCCAGAGTTACAACAAGCAAAAGAAAACAAGTTCACTAACATATTACAGCCACACCTCACTGCCCAGAGGATATGAATTCTGCTTACTGATGAATTACCGCGTACCTACACCCACTGCTCTGTCATTAACAAGCCGAAGACATTGACACAGCTTTTCACTAAATAGGACTACTTTCAAGGCTCTTACATGCCTTCAGAAAACAAAGGGATGACCAATTCCTCCTACAGTGCTTGTTCATATTCGCTCGGTTTACTGTCAAACACTACGGCGAGGCAAGTATCAACAACATAAACGAAGACGTATGGGTTAGCAAATGAGAGATTTAAGAAGTCTTGTTCAAACCTCTGAGTATCTACTAAATAATCTAGAACTCAAGGATAGTCTAATAACCTTCAGTGGAGTAATCACCCAACAAGAACTATCCTATACTCCCCTTAGGCTAATTTAAGCCTGGAACGCATGTCGAATACAATACAGCATCTAAAAAAAATTCTGCAGATCTAATCTAATATGAAGTTGAATGAAATGGAGAATCACCAAGTGGAGAAACAAGAGCAATAAATACTGCACACTTGCTATTGTTTGGGTGTGAAAGGGAAGAAATACTTAATCATGGATGAGAGATTTCTAAAGGAATTCCAAGGCATTTAAACAACGGAAAATTTGGAAGGTAACTGAACTTTAAGAAGGGAAGCTATCTAAATTCACTTAGGGAAAGGTGATCTTTCTGTAGATTACTACATCATCAAATCCCTCCATGCTATGTATCAGTATCTCACATGAAGAACACAAAACCAAGCACAAGCGGTGCCAAGCAGAGAGGATACCACATCAGATCTATCAAAGTAGATACATGAAAGCTATTAGAGCCTTCAAGTATCCCAGAGCTACAGGCATTGTTTAATGGGTTTATTTCCATTTGGAACTTGATTCCAAAAAATAACAAGGTAAAGACTAGTGGCATCTTCCAATAGCTCAGGGTTTTCACAAGCCCCACCTAAAAGTCCCTACAGGAGCATCTCAATTTACTTTTGCAGCCAGTCTCTTGCTACTTGCACAAAGTCAGCCTGGACACATCAGTTATGATGAAAATTCTCTACATCATGGAATACAAAATTGGGGAGGGGAGGAGGGATGGGTGAGGAATAAAAATTATCCCATCTTCATCCTTTTTCGCTAGCCATTTTGTCCAATCTCGTATTACATGATGACTTCTAAGAATGGCTAGATCGAGTTTAAAGCAAGCACTCCTGTACTTTATTCCTCTCATGTACTCAGCAAGTTGATTTTCTGGCTGCCGTCTACTTTGCAGCACAGATTGCACAAGATCAACTGTTTAAGGGCCTAAAGCCAGACAGCATTGCTCCAACAGACCCACTGAAAGGAGTGAAGAGATGCCAGGGTGGTTCAAAGCCAAGCAGACTGAAAGACAGCAATACAAGCAGGGGGCAGACTCTTTTTCCCAGATCTGGAAACTAACGAAGAGCAGCCTCTGGAGGGTTCAAACTAGAGGCAAAGACAGCATTAAAAAAACCCAACCAGAAAAACAATGAAAACACACACATTTTAACACCTAACTGGACCACTAACCTAAGCCACAATTTCCGTGCTTCTAAGAGCAATTCTGCACATCAGCTCACCAACAGCAGAAAACAGTTATTCCATTACTTATTCCTGTGTGTTCAAGAAAAAGGTTTCCATTTTTTCTCCTTCCCCAGGACAAACGCTTTCCTCAAGCCCTAGGTAGGACAACACTCTGTGCAAGTGCCTGATATGAACCAGCTTGATGGTTCTGTTTTCGTGTATCATAATCAGTTAAGAAAAGCAAAGTGAAGGGGGAAGAGAGTACATGCATAAGGAAAGTGCTGCATATTAGCTTAGTATTTCATGTTGCTAAGGTGAAATATAGATCTTTTCAGTCATAGAGTATTTCCATTCAGTTACATAAAAAAAATGCCAAAAAACCAACCACCCTCTGTTCAAATTCCATGGAAAACAAAAACAACCAAACCCAGTCCTCAGTGTGGAACAGAGATTAAAGGAAGGAAGCAAAAACTATGCATCTGAGACTGATGAATTCAAGTTTGGAAAGGCTTGCCCAGAACAGCTTTATTTAATGGAAAGAATGGACTGACTTATAACAATGCATGCCAAATCCTTCCTGA